AATGTAATTCTGCAAGTTACTCACGCAGTCGCTCAGAGCAGCGGTCGATGATAAAAACCGATAAAAACCATAAATTTCACACCCGAGCCTCAACTCTTGCAGCCCGGCACCAAACGACTCCATGGCCCAGGCGTGGGGACCGCTGCTTAGATTACCAATCAGGTGAAAGCAGATAATCTTCCACGGCACACCTGAACAGCGTGCCGTGGAACAGTGGTTGGGAAACCTAAAGCATTATGTTGCTTCTGCACACTTATAATGTGTAAAATAAACTTCCTGTTATATTTAACAAGACCTTAAACTATGGATTTGTTCATGTTACGACTAAGTTGTGTTTCTTTGAAGCAGGTGTCTGACTCATGCAGATGACACTGGGACTGAAAATCCAAATATGTTGTTGGTTTTTGTTTTTAAATCAAAAACATTCTTCGTTTTATTTTCACGCGTTGACTAATTGGGTCGAATCCCTTTAACTGATATCTGCAGCAGTTTTTCTCAGTATTTGTTTCCTAAAATACTTTTTCTTTGAACTGTTTTGTCCAGTTTCTGCAAGTTCATTATTTTGTGAACACGTCTTGTGGTTCTTCTGGCTCAATAAAAATGTGTTCTCAAAAAAAGCTGAGAAAACAAGAAGAAACTTGAAAGCATGCAGTACGAACGTTGTGCTGCTTCCTGGTTTTGTTGCCTTTTCCACATGCCTCACATGCTTGAAAAACTTCAGCACTTAGATCAGAAAATGGAGAAACATCCGAGTTTAAACAACATTCGGGCTTAGCTCGTCTGACTGAAAACACCTCTCAGGAGCCGACTCTTAAATCCCTTCAGTCACAGAGTCCTTGAATGCATCAGCAAGGACAGACTTAAACACGGAGTGTGTGTGTGTGTGTGTGCGCTTCCACCCTTCACTGTTGACCTGAAGCTTTACTGTTGTTTACTGAACCATGTAATGACAGAGGGAGCAGCTCTGACCTCCATCACTGCTCCATCCTGTAGAAGAAACTGTCTGATTTAGACACACTGTCAGCTAACAGGTCTCTATAAATACCCAGTATACCCAACTATAAATTAATGAAGAAATGGCTGAAGACTAATAGATACTAGAGGAATATATCTATTAACATTTGAAGATGACTAGGTGTGAGAAAACCTCTTTTTTGGTTCACTGAAAGAACAGATGGGAAATCCAGAGGTGTTGTGTTATTTGTTTAAGCAATGACGCTCAACAAAAATGCACCAGCTCGTGTGAGTTTGAGTTATAAGTCATTTTGAAGGTTATGGAGTCATCCGTCCTACAGCGGCAGGTTTACAAGCGTCAGTCAACTATAACCGACCAAATGATCTAATATTAGACCGACTTCATGAATCGATCATCTGTCCTTCAAGCCTGTCTGACCAGCTTCATCAGCCGCTACATGCCCCTCCCATCCCGCTACTCTCCATCAGTGCACGTTTCTCTGATTCTCCTTTCTTCGTAGCTCAAAAGATTAAAACAACTCGAGTCTAATTAACTTTTACTGTTTCAGCTGATCAAAAAAGGCCTTTCATCTTTAGCCTACTCAACCAATAAGTAGCTTACTTTAGACTAAACGAGGAGAAAGGACTAACAGCACCTTTTAAACTCTTGGCAACTTTGCAAGATCAAATAGTTATCAAGATTTTCTTGCCTGACGCAAAATATAAAGGTGGATTGTGTTTTTCCTGCTATTTAGTGATAATTTGTTCAGCTAAATGGACACACTTTCGTTTTAAAAAGTCACCCAGTCTAATTAACCCATTTTCTATGAAAAAAGGAGGCAGATCCTCGTTCCAGTGAACTCTGGCAGCACTGCACCTCTGGCAAAATCCGTCAGAGAGCCAAGAATTAGAGCCGTCACAGACGACGAGCTCTGAAAGACAGAGTGGGAAACTGTCAGAGAAAATGAGTCAGAGAGAAGAGTCTGACAGCAGAGAGCGAGAGTCTGCGACTTAGACGAGAAACACTATTGTGGGTTTCATGTGTTTCACGTTTCACGTCTAGCAGAGAGAAGACTTCAGCGAGGATAACGTTCTTCCTCTAAAAGAAGAAAAGACAACTGCCGTGGGGGTGGCCAGCATGAAACAACGACTTCCACTGGGATGGTTTTATTTTTACTGTTAATTAAGGTCACAAAATGGTCACAATTAATCATTGCTGTTGCGCTATTAACCTCCTCACATCCACCTGAGAGTTAGGCAAGTGGAAATATCTCACTAATTACCTTTATTTAGGTCCAGTGTCGTCAAACGCAATGATGGAGCCGGAGGCTAACGAGAAAACAGGGACCTGAGATTTGTGGTCCAGTTGAAGAAGAACAGATCCTGTTATGAAGGATGTGTTTTCTTGGTTATCTTGGTTTTGATACATTTGTTTGCTGTTTGGCCTTGGCTCACCATGGGCAGTAAGTTCAAATCCTGCTTTTTTCCCATCTCTTGATCAATAAAACGTATATTAACTTTGACAAGTGGTTCTTGTGGCTCCTTGGGACTTGGGGAAGATGGACGTCTTCCATGTTGTGTCTTGGCGCCGTGAATTAAAGCCCAAATGGGTCAATCAAAAAAACAAAAGCCAACACATGGCCTGAAACTCGACACAGTGAGAGTTAGGCACAGAAATTGAGTGGTTAGAGTTCGAACCATTAGGATCACCATAAGATAAAGGGAACGTCCATTTGAAGCAGCAGAGGTTATGCTTATAGCTCTGCAATAGTCCACACTGTAAGTATGTCGTAATTGGAAACCCATCTGAAATCTTACACCGCACATTATTCCATACTCTAAACCTCAAGTGCACCTACTGCTGTATATATTGTACTGACCCAGCCCTCTTCTACGTCTACTTCTAATCGAACAGTAAAGTCATCTTGAAGAGCAAAAACTGCCACTGCCAAAATCTCAGAACAGTCCTGCACTGGAATAACTGGTGGCAATCGTGTCGGCTACTAGCATAAACATGAAGTAAACGCAAAAGTATAAACAAAGTTTGAGAGGTTTGGGATAGAAAATTCTAGAAATTTGCCTATCAGTCAAACTCCAGGCCTCGAGGGCCGGTGTCCTGCAGGTTTTAGATCTCACCCTGGGTCAACACACCTGAATCAAATGATTAGTTCATTACCAGGCCTCTGGAGAACTTCA